GGGGGGTACCCCGCGGGGAGGGAGCGCGCCCCTGCCACGCCTGGGGGGCTGCAGCGCGCCCGGATCCCGCGGAGGCGGCCAGCTGGGACTCGCGTCGTGCGGAGCGAACCACTTTACGGCAGCTGCTGAGAGCCCAGAGCGGGGCCTCACGGGAAGCCCGTCGGGCCTCCCGAGCTGCCATTGGCTCCCGGAATGCGGGGTCCTGATTGGACGCCGAGCAGCTCGCTCTCCGCCCCGCCCGCCTCCCTCCCGCCAGGTGGTAGCCAGGTGAGGTCCCCAGGATGCTCTCAGGCCCCGCAGGGCCCTCCNTGAGGTCCCCAGGATGCTCTCAGGCCCCGCAGGGCGCTCCGACTGCGCCGTCGATTTACTGCTCTGGCGCCCGTTTCCCTCGCATTTTTTGGGGAGGCCAGTGTGAATCTTGAAGGTTCCAGACTTGATTTAATCAAGGAGGGCAATACCTTTTGTTACATTCATTCGAAAGCCATCGTTGATGGCCTGCCGTGGGCCAGGCACTGCGCAAGGTGTGGGAATACGTGGTTGAATGGAACATAACTCATAGTCTATTGGGGCCAGAAACAGTTCATTACAAACTAAAGAGACAAGTGCAACACACAAGGTAAGCAGAAGGCCCTATGAAAGCGCACTTTGTCGCCTTAGAGTGGGGTGATGGGAGATGTGGGCAAATTTGCAGAGTAGAGGGTGAATTTAAAATGGAAAAGACTAGACGAGAGAAGACCAAACTCTATAAATATATATAAACTTGCTCTCCTTTCTTCTCTCATGTTCTTTAAAATTATAAAGTTATGTAAAGTAATAATTATAACAACGTATTGTTTAGTTATATGGATGTAATATGTAATAATAATAGTACAAATAATGTATAGTGCAGAAATCTCTNTTATAACAACGTATTGTTTAGTTATATGGATGTAATATGTAATAATAATAATAGTACAAATAATGTATAGTGCAGAAATCTCCGCTGTACAGCTCAATGTATTTTTACATGTGTACCATGTAGCCACCACCCAGATCAGCTATAGTAATTTTCTAGAAAGCTCCCTTGTGGCCCTCCCAGTATGTATACATAGAGGTAAAACTACAGGAAGTAAAGAAGTGATTATAAGGGTCTCAACAAAATTAACTTTAGGAGGCAGCTGTGTTTGGAAGGTGATACTGGAGGGTGGGGTGAGAAGAGTGTTCTATCTCTAGACCTGGATGGTGGTTACCCAGATGTTTGTTTTGCAATTATTCATTAAATTGTACATTTATATGTTATGCAATTATATGTCTGTGTTTTAAGTCACAATTCAAAGTTTTGAATAAAAATAAAGCAAATATAGTTTATATTTAAAAAACTATTAATATGTATTGCCATACTGATTGTTAAATATTTTGATACCAGCCCAGGATAGGTCCCAAGTAACCATTTTCCATGACATAACCCTGCTCTCTTGGCTGGGGTTGAATATACTCTGCAGGGTCAATAAGAAAACCTCTAGAAATGTGAGAGTCAATCCTTCTGTGTGGGTAGAACTGTAATATTTGACCTTGTATTAGTTTGGGTTGTCTTAACGACATACCAGAGACTGTGTGGTTTGCACAAGAAACATTGACTTTCTCACGGTTCTGGAGGCTAGAAGTTTGAGATCAGGGTGCCAGCATGGTTGGTTTCTTGTGAGATCCCTCTTCCTGGCTTGTAGGTGGATGCCAACACACTGTGTGCTCACATGACCTCTTCCTTGTGGGTACTTGGGGAGAGAGAGTAAGAACAAGCTCTCTGATGTCTCTTTTAATAGAAACACTAGTCCTATCAGGGACCCACCCTTATGACCTCATTCAAGTACATCCCATCCTCACACCTTCACTTCTAGCTGTGCTTGTGCAAAGGCCAAGTGGAGTCTCTGTGTCAGAAAATCCCTGGTGCAGAAAGCAAAAGAAGCTTGAAAAGAAGATATACAATAGCAAATCAGCACATGAAAAAATAAATGCTTAGCATCATTAGTCATTAAGGAAATCCAAATCAAAGCAGCTATGAAATACCACTTCATACCTGCTGAATGACTAAAAAAAATTAAAAAGACATAATAGTAAGTGTTGGAGAGGATGTGGAGAAACTGGAACCCTCACACATTGCTGTGTGTGTGTGTGTGTGTGTGTGTGTGTGTGTGTGTGTGTGTGTAAAATGGTGCAGCCACTTTGGGAAACAGTTTGGAAGTTTCTTACAAAATTAAACATACACTTTCCATATGACCCAGCAATTTCCACTCCTGTATATACAGCCGAAAGAGGGAAAAATATGCCCACACAAGGAAATGTTTGTATGACTTTATTCATAACAGACAAAAAATGAAGCCACTCAAATGTCCATCCACTGGCGAATGGATAGACAAATGTGGTGCGGCTACACACAGATTACTATTCAGCAACTAAAGAAAGAAGCTGCTGTACGTGCTACAATATGGGTGAACCTCAAAATTGTTGTGCTAATCAAAAGAAGCCAGACTTTTATATGAGACATCCAGAAAAGGCCAATCTATTGAGGTAGACAGAAGTTCAATGGTCCCCTGGGCTGGAGGTGGAAAGGATTGGAAATGGGCTTGAAATTATGGAAATTTTTTTTTTTTTAATTCTCACCGGAGGATATTTTTTCATTGCTTTTCAGAGAGAGTGGAAGAGAGGGAGAGAGAAAGAGTGAAACATTGATGTGTGTGTCTCTCACACTGACCAGGGCCGCAGATCAAGCCTGCAACCAAGATACCTGCCCTTGGCTGGAATCGAACCAGGGACCTTTCATTCCGCAGGGTGATGCTCTAACCACTGAGCCAAACCAGCCAAGGTGACAGAAATGTTCAAAAACTGAGCTGTGGTGATGTTTGGGCAACTCTGTATTTTCTATAAAAGTCACTGAAGTGTAAATTTAAAATGGGTGAATTTCATAGTACGTAAGTTAAACCTCAATACAACTTCTAAAAAAGCAGCAGACGTCAGCATGGATGGGCGGAACTTGCGTGGAAATGCCCACCTCTGCTGCAGTGAAGGATGCCACCTGGGGCACTAGAGATGTCTGATGGCAGAGACCTTCAGACTTTACAGTGGTCCCTCAGTTTTCAAATGCAGTCCATCCAGAAGACTGTTCGAGCTCTGAAACGCTGGAAAACCAAGGGATCCACAGCCGACAGCTAGGCCTCAGGATCTTGCCCTCAGCAGAAGCTGTGGGGCATGTTCGACTTCCAAGGCATGTTTGAAAACTGAAGCATTTACTCCCTGGTTTACGGCGTTCGNTCCACAGCCGACAGCTAGGCCTCAGGATCTTGCCCTCAGCAGAAGCTGTGAGGCATGTTCGACTTCCAAGGCATGTTCGAAAACTGAAGCATTTACTCCCTGGTTTACGGCGTTCGTAAACCAAAATGTTTGCCAACTGAGACATTCGAAAACCGAGGCACCACTGTATATTCAACCTGCCACAGGTGAGGAAACTGAGGCTCGGGTAGGGAGGTGACTTGCGCAAGTTCACCAGTATAACTGATCACAGAAGTGCCCAGGAGGCAGTCACGGCCAGGGCCTAAACCTGCCCTCCCTCCCTTTCCCCCCTGGATGCAGACTCTGACTGGTGCTTGCTGCCAACGTTACTTTATTTGGAAAATGCTAGTGCCAGGGCATGGAGTGGAGGGGTGGGCATGGGAAGAGGCATCGCTGTTGCTGAGCCCGGCGATCACATGCGAGTCAGGGCAGCCTCATCTAGGGAGCCGTCAGCGCTCTGAGAAATCACCTCCTGGATGTTAAGTGAGGGGGAGATGAGCTACCAAGGGAGGCAGCGTGGTCAGGCCGGGAAGGGAAGGGGCAGGAGAGGGCAGCGGGAGCGAACTGGGAGTGGAGGGAGCACCAGCCGCCAGAAAACAGCCGGGAGCAAAGGCGGGCTCTGGCCCCGCGCTCCACCCAGGCCGTATCGGTGTCGGCTCCCTTCCATCTGTCTCTCCCCTGCCACTCCATGTGACCTCAGGCTACCACAGAGCAGGTGCTTAACAGGAACCGGGCGCTACCGGGCCCTTCGTGCGCTGGCCCTCCCCGGGGCCTCCCAGCCCCAGCTGTAAAGATGAGGTCAGGGAGGGAAAGAGGTGAACGGGGATTTGAACCAGGGGCCACTGATTCCTGACACCCGAGCTTAGGCATGACTGCAGAGGAAATCGGAAGAGTGCTATCGATCGGAAGAACTCAAGGACCAAAAATCCTGCCGGGGTTCGGCTGGGTAAAAGGGCCTGGGGGA